TGCTGGTTCATTGTTTGTTTGATGGTCTACAGCCAGACCGTCCTGTACGCTCACTCTGCATGTTGTGTAGGGTCCCGCATATAAAACAGGGCCCCACTCACTCTCTCAAATTATAAACATTAACTACTGGTACTTTACCTGGGTCTGTAGGACTAGCTAAAGATGTCTGTATTGGGTCTGTGCTGGTCCTGACTGAGGCTGGATGTGGATCAACTGTGCTGGAGTCTGTGCTTGTACTGACTGATGATCCAGCTTGTACTCTACTGACAAACGTAAGCATAGCTCCATAACACTTTTAAAATGATGTGCACCAATGTGTTGACTGGTCCTCACAAAGGTCTGCCGGAATTACCAACTTTTTTTTTTATAGGTCCCTGAGTCTAGCATGGTGATATTTTGCTAATAACCAACCCTGCACCTCCCAGAACCCAACACTTGTATCTACAGCACTGACCTTTGACCAGGAGCACCACTTGTTTCTCCATCAGGATATTTCTCTTCCAGCTGTAGACGGTGCAGGTATAGGTGTCTTCGTCTCTGACTGTGGGGTATTTCAGAGTCAGACTGAGGTCTCCGGGTCTCAGCAGGTTTCTCTTCATCTCTGTTCGGTCTTTGTAAAACCTGTCCTGTTCTTCAGGCTGGTCAGAGTCGTTCTGACACACGTGGACCTTCATGTTGTAACTGTCCGTCCACTCCACTGTGATGTCTTCAGGCAGGTGAAGTGTGGTTCTGCAGGGCAGCTGGACAGACTCCACCCCTGAATTCACCTCCACCTGGCAGACTGACAAAAACACAACATCAGCTGTACAGACAGGAGCAGGGACTCTCCTGAAATATGTCCCTTTGTTCCATCTAATCAACAGCACAACTGGCTTTATTAAATCACATTATTGGAATCTGTGAGTATTATTGTCAGCTTTCCATCAAACACAATAAATATCAAATTATTTGACTTCAATAAGTCACAAAAGTTAAAAAAATATTTAGATGGACTCTTTATTAATGTCAGAATCTGAAGATTTTCATTTAAATAATTGTCTGTTCAGTTACTATCTATTGTCTAATGAGGTAACACAATGGTGACTAAGCTTGTGGACCACTGATGAAAGTATATCTATATTTGCAGTATTACCAAGTGAAAAACTGCAGTATTAAGTTGCTGCTAATGCAAAGCGAATATTTCCTGCTACTGCACTTCAAATTAAAAACATTTAGCTGGCGAAAACACCAATTGACTTTTATTATGAAGTATACACAGGAAATGCAGAATGTTTGTCAGTGAGATTAGCACTGACCGCTGTCGTTCATCAAAAATGCATCTACAAACAAGACAAAGGCCATTTGGGGCATTTTTTGACAACGTTTTAAGTTTCTGGAAGAAGAGAGAGACATTCTGCCTCAGCAGTTAAGGGTAAGAAGGATAACCATTGGCAAGATGGGTAATGTAGTAGTAGTAGTGAAATACCTGACATGAAATAGTGTCGAAAATGTACCAAAAGACCCCCACACAACAAGACTAACAACTAGGAGAACCAGGAGAACTTTGGCCCAGGATGGAAATCGTTCTGTGGGAACCAGAAACATAAAGAACATGACCTCCGACCTCTGACCTGTATATACAGTATAGTAAGTTAAAGGGTTTGTTGCTGACCTTTGACCTGCAGCTGTATCTCTGTCATTCTCTGTTGTCCTCTAAACTCTCTGATGGTGCAGGTGTAACTGCCGCTGTCAGAGAGTTGGAGTTTTGTCAGCTTGAGGCTGAGGTCTCCAGTTTCCAGAGCGTCAGTCATCATGGATGTTCGGCCGCTGTAAAGCTGGTTTTGGTCTTGAAGTTCATCACCTTCGTGCTGACGCTGGTGGACGGTTGGAGGATTGAGATCGTAGATCAGATGGTGACAGATAAATGTGCCTGCTGAGCAAACTGCTAACACACCTGCTAGCAGCTAACATGCTGCTGTGTCAACCATTTATGTTGTACTGTGTTTACTGTTTTACCATTATATGCATTACTATTATAGCCTTATGTTTCACTAAGTGGTGCTTAACTATGTTGCAGCTAGGTGAAAGCAGTTTTCATGGTTAAGTAACTTGTTTATAAGTTTCTTATCTGAATTGATGGTTCAGAGATGAGCCAGCTGAATGCCGGTCCCTACCTTCAGCACCTTATAAAACTCTGTTAAAAACACTCAACTAAATACTATTAGTTTGCCTCAATAGTCACTAACTTTGTAGCCAGAAACTTCTCTGGAGATGGTCAAGAGTCGGCGCAAAAGAGTTTTTATTCCAATTAGGACAGAAAAAACCTGAGTAACATCCTTGCAAGTGGATGGAACTGATATTACGGTCAGCGAACCTCCCCTTATATTCACCTTTCAGGTGAGGGTTACACTTGGTCTCCTCCCAATCTCCACTTTTGTGTTCGCTGACCACTCCCTTTCCAATGGGGAATTTCTCATCCTCTGCTGCCATCAGTGGCCATTTACATGTATCGTTTTAACACTTTTTTTAAAACAAATTTTATTTTTAGCTGTTGTTAAACATAATTTGTTATTATAATATAGCCTGTTATATTTTTTAACACTCTGGATGAAACATAAGTATATAGTGTTGTACCTTTCACAAAGACTTGTGTGTCTACTACAGTGTACATTTCATCTCAGTCAGTGGTTACGTGACCTGCAGCAGGTCCTGCAGCAAGTGTCTACTTGATGACTCATTCTTACTACTACATTGTATGTTATCAGATCCTTAAGCAAAAACTGTGCCACATTTCCTTGGTACTGAGCAAACAATACATCAATTTATCAGGTGTTAAATAAACATTACCCCATCCGAACTAGACAAACAGTACCTGCCGTACATTAGCTAGGTTTTTGCATGTTCACAACTTGACGTGGCTTCATCAGCTTCACTTCACATGTAGAGACATTGAAAGGTTGTAAATTCACTTATTAAAACAGTCTATTAAAAAGACAGCAAAATAAAATTTGAGACATTAATTGAACCAGTAATGAGAATGAGTCATCCTACCATAAAATGAATAACATAAACAAGATAAAAATAATATAGGCATCATTAAAAATTACACAACAGAAGGGCCTTGACAGAAACAAAGTGTGCTTTATCTCAGAACAGCTGGTTTCTGCTCCCTTCCTCCCTCTGACAGCTGCGTAATATCATCTTCCAGTGTAAACAGTCTTGTTTCTTGACTGGCTCTTGTCTTAATTCTGCAGACTGGTCACACTTTCACTCTTCTTTATTTATTCATACACAAATATTCACTGTCTTGTGAACCCCTGCTGACAGACAGGTAGAAACATCTCAGTGTTTTTAATAACTGTGCCAGAACATCGTACCGCTGACCTGCCAGATGATGTTGTTTCTGAGCAGCCCAAGCTGTTGTGATAGTAACAAAATATGACACTCTAAGACAGATACTGGCTCTGCTGCACACCAGTAAATAAACAAGTGAACACTGAGCACAAAGCTTTAAAAGGTGAACACAGCCAACGAGTGCAGAAAGACTGACTGTGGACCTGTGAGGCTGAGCATGTGGTGTCCAATATATGTGCATTTGACTCATAACAGTTAAAAATAACACTGTAGCAGCTGGACAGAGGGTCAGTGACCTCCTAAGGGGAGAGTAGTGATTGATGGTTATGTAGGGACTGAACCCTTCTATGGAATTTGACCTCTAACCCCTGTTTTTGTTACCTCAGAATAGTACTGAACCCTTCTATGGTATCTAACATACACCTAAACACACCCTATATAAGCGATGTTTGATGTACAGAGAGACAGAGTGGTTATCGGGCTGGGTCACTCTCCAAGCTGCTGCAGAGCTTGTCATTGATACTGAACTCCTTGATGTAATAAACTTTTATGATCAAGAACAGTGTCAAGCGGGTTTCTTCTCAACACATCATCGCAGCATTATTGTTCGGACACCACAAGCAACATGTTCTCACCTGGTTCGTGGATAATTTAGTATTTTGGTGCATTTTAGCAGATTCCAGCTGAATAAACGATGGCATGCACTTTATTATTTTTTAAAGAAAATGTTGAACATGTTGAATAAAAGGTTGATTTTAATGTCAGTGACACAAACCGCTGACGGAGAGTCATTAACAATGAAGTCAGTCCAATTTTAAATAAAAAGGATTTAAACTACTGCTTTTGGTTTCAACTGTGGCATTCATTGTGTGTGTTTATGCATTGCTTTGACCAGTACTGGCACTATTACTCTTCACTCTTTGGAGGACAAGGACTTTTTCTTGAGTACCATCACTTCTCACAAGCTGCCAGTACTCGTGTCTGGCCTCTCCACCAGCGGATTCGGAGTAGGTAGAAGATTGGGTGCTTTTTTTATCCAAGCGTGTACATAAAGTTGCTCCTGGATAAGGCGGGGCATTAAAAAAGTTTGAAGTGATCCAACAGCAAACATGAACTTTTTGATTTTGTCAATTTATCACTTAGCATTAACAAATTAGAGACTAACTAAAACACCATGTAGACTATTTTTCCTTAATTAAATCTTAACAAAAAAAAAAGCGGTTTGATGGTCGGAACTGGGATATTTCCCAGTTGAAACTTCCGACATCAAAGTGTTCCAGGTGCACGGTGGTGCTGATGCCGAAAGTGAACGAAAACCATGGCTGACCGTAACAAAGTGTCCACACAGTTGCACCCTCAGCAGTGCTTTAGGTGTTAATTAAAAGGATGCAGTTTAAATGCAAACAACTGCCATAAATAGCCTGCACGTTACTAGTTCTGTGTACCGCTGGCTATATAAGTTGGTAGCCCTCAAGTCAGTCAGTGTTGTAGGTTACACTCCCTAATGTTTAGGCATTTTAAACAGTAACTTTTATGCAGAGAAGACTTTGAGATTCTTTTCTGTAGCCAGCTACCTAATAACATATTTCTACATCAATATACATGCAGAACAGGTTTTACTATATGACCGTATGTATTATTTTAATTTAAATAGATGCAAATATACTTTTTGTTGCCTTTTAGTTTATGGTTTACCATTAACGTAAACATTATGTGCGCTTCCATTGTTTTGTGACGTCATTCAGCTGCTACTCGATACGGAAGGACGCGTCACTACCCTGAAGAGCTCCGACAGACACAGAGGAGACCTGCTGGATCTGAGAGACCAGGACCAAGAGCGGGATGGAGGAGGACAACCAGGACCCGGAGCCCCGGAGCAACAACGTCCCCGGAGGACAAACAGCAGGCTCGAGCTCTGATAGCACCGATGTTCAGGTCAGTGTTCATGAACACAGCTAGCAGCTAACAAGAAGCTAACGTGGCGTTAGCTCGGCCTGGTTCCGACACGTAGCTTCATATTGACTGTAAACAAGATGTAATGTAGCAGGATTCAACAGTGGAGCCATCAGAACCCCGTATCTCTACAGAACCCACACTTAATGTGACGGTCGGAACCGGAGGAGGAGGAGGAGCAGGAGGAGGTCTCTTGTAGCATGTAGCCTGCTGCCTGGGTGTTAGCATGCTAGCTAGCTGGACAAAGCTACAGTTAACATCCGGTTCGGCAGTTAAGGGAAACTTGAGTTGGTGAGCAACGATCCTCCTCCGTGTTCTGCTCCTCTTACTGTTGTGAAGGCTGTTAATTATTTTAGATGGAGCCCGAACGCTGTCTGAAACCCACTTTAGATGTATTCAAACTTTATTTTAGTTGTTACAGTAATATAAAGGGTGATTTTATGTTTGTTTACCAACATGTAGACCACATAGGATCAGGTCCAGATCAAAAACCACTATCTAGAGCGGTTAAATCTGTACTAGATCATTATAGAGATCTAAAATTTCTTTAAGAGACAAAAAAATTAGCTGGTTCGCTGGTGTGTCACAAAAGCGTTTAATTGATACAATGGAACGCAGATTATTTTTCAAATCTAATGATGTGTGATGAGATTTTATAACAATTTTAAGAAATGTTAAATGCTGAATTGAAAAAAAATTGAGCATTAAACACTAAACCTGCATTCTGATTTTTTTTTTTTGCACCTATTTATGGAGAACATGTTTTTATTTTTGTAAAGACATACACAAAATTCAAGTGGCAGGTGACAATTGCCTGTTAAGGCCCCCCAAAACAGTCACAAAGGTGACAAGGTTGCAAGGACAGGTCCAGAGACAGCAGGTTTTGCACACATTGTTGAAGGGTCCTAGAACAACCCCACATCAACAAATAGCCCCTGTGGTATGTAGAAAAAAAGACTAAGGAATAATCATACCAAGTTAGGATGGTGAGATGATTGAGTGTTCTCACACACTCTGTCAGATTGGAGTGTTGTTTTTTTAGACAAAGTTGTCTAAACAGCAGGTCACACCAATTCTGCGTTTTCGTTTTACAATTGCGACCTTTTTCTACGTTTGCACCTCCCGTCCAGACTAAAATGGCAAAAATAAAGACCTAAAACAGAGAAGGGCTTTAGAAACGGTGACGCTGAGTTTTTGACAGGGTATTTTTATTAAAATATTTTGTACTGTCCAAATAACACTTGTACTGTGGATGTCACGATGTAACTCCCAGTCTGTCACCACACTCCCGTGGTACATTCTGTAACAGTCCCAGCTAGGGCTTTTACATATTGATTATTTTTCAAGTCGATTAATTGACTTAAACGACTAATTTTGTTTATTCTAAAGAAAGAAAAGTTGCCTATTACTCAATTAACATATGAATTTATCCAAAATAAATATAAAAAACATGTCTAATCAATAAATCTATATTTTATTCAATCATCCAGATGAATAACATTAGAATAATGACAATAGCAGCAAATCTTAAAATGAATCAAATTTCCACATCACTGATGAACAATGACATTAATTAGGCTACGTTACTTAAAACTTTAAATGTTTCTGACATGGATTCATTTCAATATTAAGTAATGCATTATGATAATGTGATAAACACCTGAAAGGACTCACAGACTGTACAGACAGTCACAGATTGTCTGTAATTAGATTCAGCTGTTTTCTCGCTCATACATGGCCATTAAATAAACACAATATATGAAACAGCCCAACATTAGATGACACGCGGTGTGTTGTAACGTTACGTTACCATGGCAGCAGCGGGACAGAAATTACTTTTAACATGAAGGCAATAAACATTTTAACGGATGTGCCGTGCTTGTGTGGCAACAGAAAGTAAACACGATTTGCGGTGCTGCCGACTAGACAAAGTGCTGCGGGATACTTTTGTTTCAAGTGTTCATGTTGCTTCTCGTATTTGTGGACAGCAGTTGTGCTGCAGTGAAGCTGTTCAGACAGCTCACGGAGCAGCATGTTGTTGAGTGTCTGTCTGAAATACTCTAACTAAACTTTAGACGGTTGAAGGTACGGCTCGTAGCTGGAGCTTGTCCGGGAGAATCCCACACCGGATGCGGCGACGTATGTCGACGAATCGCCCCAGCCCTAGTCCCAGCTCGTTATTGGTGCATGCCAAATAAAATCTGGTGTGATTCTTCGGCTGCATTACTTTATAACTATGGAATAAACCATCTGCTTCATGTTTACACCGGCACGTGTATACCCTGTGTACGTGAGCGGCCACCAGATGTTGGTGTGGACGGAGATCGTATTTGTTTTAATTCATTTTAATAGAGTAGTGGAGATAGGGCCTTTATATCCAGTAGCAGTAAGAGCTACATGGGGGTGGTGATGGCGCAATGGATAAGACACATGCCTTTGGTGTGAGAAACCCGGGTTTGATTCCCACTGTGACCCATCCACCATTGTGCTCCTGAGCAAGACCCTTAACCCCTAGTTGCTCCAGAGGTGTGCGACCTCTGACATATATAGCAATTGTAAGTCGCTTTGGATAAAAGCGTCAGCTAAATGTAAAATGTAAATGAAACACTGATTGTTTTAACGATTTTTAACCTTTTCTCTTCCTTTTTGTGTCATTAAAGTTACTTTTTTTTAGCTGTTCTGTAACATGATTCATTATTATAATATAGTCTTTTTGACACTCTGGATCGGAAATTCACCAGCAGGTTTCAAACTCAATCTTACCGTAATTTTTAAAAGTTCTACATGCATAATTTGACACCATTAAAACTCAAACACACATAATTGTATTTTTTTTTTAAAGATTAACAAGAGAATAACATAGGGTAACATATCAAACATAAGTATATAGTGTTATAGACTTGGTGTCTACTACAGTGTTGTACATGTCATGATCTCATTCACTGGTTACGTGACCTGCAGCAGGTGTCGATGATTCATCCTTACTACTACATTGTATGTTATCAGATCCTTAAGCAAAAACTGTGCGACATTACCTAGGGGTTGAGCAAACATTACATGTGGTACTCTAAGCAAACAGTACCTGCATACGTTAGCTAGTTTTTTGCATATTCCCAACTTGACATGGTCTCAGTTGCTTCACTTCACATGTAGAGACATTGGAAGATTAATGATTATTTAGCAGCCTATCATTCTTAGGCAAAAAAAATTACACAAGCGCTGATAGTGAGTTAAAATCCCCTTATTATCATCGATATGCGATCCAGTTGGCACAAGCCTACTTTGACTCTCTCAAGAGTAGCCTTTAGGGATGGTGATCGTAAGGAGTTTGTTAAAGTATGGAGCCTGTAAATCAGCAAAAATGACAATTAAATCCTATTTCTTGGCGAATCGTCGATTTTCGACGCCAGCCACGGGCACACTCGTGGATGAAAACTCACCATTTGTACAACTTTCAATCAGTAATGTGTTTAGAGTGCACAAGTTGATCGGATTAATTCTCTTAGAGGAGGTCGTTAAAGTACGAAGTGTTTAAAAGAGATATAGAGAGATAGATATATAGACAGATGCTGAGCCGGCCTTCTTGCTGTTGGAGGAGGTTGCTGACGTAAGCGTGTCGACTCATTTCCGTTTCCGGTGCTTGTGTGTTGGTAGCGTGTTGTGCTGCTCTCGCTAAATACCAGTTACATTTGTTGGATTACAGCGGCCAACTGTCCGCTAAACACTTATTCTTACAGTAATTTTGCTTAAGCACTCGCAGTTCTTTCCATCTTTTAGTGACTGCTGTTCAATCTTAGTTGTTCAAAAGTTTTGGTAGCTGACGCTACAGTACTTTAGCTTAGCCGTTAGCGACTTTAGCTTAGCAGCTAGCGATGGCTTGTCCTTCTCCCTCTCTCTCTCCTACTTTCTCCTGCTCGGTGTGTCAGATGTTCAGTTACTCCTCTGCCTCCTTTAGCGGTAATGGTACGTGTAATAAGTGTAGTTTATTTATAGACATGGAGACGAGGCTCAGTGATTTAGAAGTCCGGCTCTGCACCTTGGTAGATCAGTCTTTAGCTACTGTAGCTAGCCAGTCCCCGGGAGTTGGTGCGGGTCGGCCTGAGTTAGCCTCTGGTAGCCGTCCCCCGGCATCTCCTGTGCAGCCAGGAAAGGGTGGCTGGGTGACTGTCCGAAGGAGGAATAGTCGTAAGCATTCGAAGTCCACGGGGCACCATCAACCTGTTCACGTTTCTAACAGATTTTCCCCACTCAGCGACACACCCGCTGAGAAACCATCTCATCATTGGCAGCTCCATTTTGAGAAACGTGAAGTTAGCGAAGCCAGCGGCCATAGTTAAGTGCATCCCTGGGGCCAGAGCGGGCGGCATTGAGTCTTATTTGAAACTGCTGGCTAAGGATAAATGTAAATACAGTAAGATTGTTATTCACGTTGGCGGTAATGACTCCCGGTAACGCCAATCAGAGGTCACTAAGATTAATGTTGAGTCGATGTGTACATATGCAAAAACAATGTCGGACACCGTAGTTTTCTCTGGACCCCTGCCAAATCTGACCAGTGATGACATGTATAGCCGCATGTCGTCATTCCGCCGCTGGTTGTCGAGGTGGTGTCCAGCAAACGATGTGGGCTTTGTAGATCATTGTCAGACTTTCTGGGGAAGACCTGGTCTGATCCGGAGAGACGGCATCCATCCCACTTGGGAAGGAGCAGCTCTCATTTCTAGAAATCTGGCCAAGTTTATTAGTGGATCAAATCCATGACAACCCAGAGTTGAGACCAGGAGGCAGAGTCGCAGTCTAATACACTTCTCTGCCCTTCTTTTTCAGCAGTTACCCACCCAAAACCCTACGCAGAGTCGCAGTCTAACACACTTCTCTGCTCCTCCATTTCAGGAGTTACTTAGTGAAAATCATATAGTGACGGTGTCTGTCCCCCGACCATCGAAATTATTTAAAAAGGTAAACAGAAGAGGAGCTGTGCATAAAAACCTCATAAAAATTAAAACCACAAGAGCAATGGTGCAAACTAATAGGAAAATTAAATGTGGACTCTTAAACATCAGATCTCTCTCTTCTAAAGGTGTACTAGTAAATGAACTAATATCAGATTATGATATTGGTTTATTTTGTCTTACTGAGACCTGGCTGGTGATGGAGAATATGTTAGCCTAAATGAATCCACCCCTCCCAGTCATATTAATACTTGCATTCCTCGAGGCACAGGCCGAGGACATGGAGTTGCAGCTATCTTCGACTCTAGCCTACTAATCAGCTCTAAACCTAAACTAAACTCTAACTCATTTGAAAGTCTTGTTCTTGGTCTTTCGCACCCAAGTTGGAAATCACTGCAACCAATTCTTTTCATTATAGTGTACCGAGCACCTGGCCCGTACTCTGAATTCTTATCTGAATTTGCAGAATTTTTGTCAACTTTAGTCCTTAAAACGGACGAAGTTATTGTTGTAGGGGATTTTAATATTCATGTGGATGTTGAGAATGACAGCTTTAGTACTGCATTTATCTCTCTGTTAGATTCCATTGGCTTCTCTCAGAGTGTTCATGAACCGACTCACCGTTTTAACCACACCCTCGACCTTGTTCTGGTATATGGTATTGAAATTGAACATTTAATAGTGTTCCCACAGAATCCCTCTTTGTCCGACCACTGTTTGATAACTTTTGAGTTTGTATTGCTGAACTACTCGCCATTGGGCAAAAATTTCTATACAAGATGTCTGTCTGATAGTGCTGTAGCTAAATCTAAGGATGCGATTCCATCAGCTCTAAATTCATTATCAAGTCACAAAGTAACGGAGTACTCCTATGATAATTTCAGTCCCTCCCAAATCAATCATCTTGTTGATAGTGCTGCAGGCTCGCTGCGAATGACACTCGACTCTGTAGCCCCTCTATAAAAGAAAATAATAAAACAAAGACGGTTAGCTCCATGGTACAATACTGAAACTTGCAAATTAAAGCAAATATCGCGGAAACTTGAGAGGAATTGGCATTCCACCAAACTGGAAAATTTTCATTTAATTTGGCAAGATAGTCTTAAAACTTATAGGAAGGCCCTCCGTAATGCCAGAGCAGCGTACTACTCGTCATTAATAGAGGAAAATAGGAACAACCCCAGGTTTCTTTTCAGCACTGTAGCCAGGCTGACAGAGAGTCACAGCTCTATTGAGCTTAATAATTTCTTCATCTAAACCATCAACCTGCCTCTTTGACCCCATCCCGACTAGGTTGCTTAAAGATGTTTTACCCTTAGTCAGCACTTCTATACTACATATGATCAATCTATCTCTATCAACAGGCTATGTACCACAGTACTTTAAAGTAGCTGTAATTAAACCTCTTCTGAAAAATTCCAAACTTGATCTGGATGTTTTAGCCAACTATAGACCTATATCTAATCTTCCATTTCTCTCTAAGGTTCTGGAGAAAGCAGTTGCTAAACAGTTGTGTGACTTTCTACAGAGCAATAGTTTTAGCACTGGTGAAAATTACTCATCATTGCATCAGACAAAGGACTCGTCTCTGTACTGGTTTTATTAGATCTTAGTGCTGCATTTGATACCATTGACCATCAGATCCTATTGCAGAGACTGGAACATTTCACTGGTTTAAGTCCTATTTATCAGATCGATTTCAGTTTGTACATGTTAACGATGAGTCCTCCATGCACGCCAAAGTTAGTCATGGAGTTCCACAAGGATCTGTCCTCGGACCAATCCTCTTCACTTTATATATGCTTCCTTTAGGCAATATTATCAGGAAATATTCCATAAACTTTCATTGTTATGCAGATGATACTCAGTTATATCTATCGATCAAGCCAGATGAAACTCATCAGTTAGCTAAACTTCAAATGTGCCTTCAGGATGTTAAAACCTGGATGACCTGTAATTTTCTAATGTTAAACTCAGATAAAACTGAAGTTATTGTTCTGGGGCCTAAGCACCTCCGTGACGCATTATCTAAAGATATAGTTTCCCTGGATGGCATCGCCCTGGCCTCCAGCACCACTGTGAGGAATCTTGGAGTTATCTTTGATCAGGACATGTCGTTTAAGTCTCACATTAAGCAAATTTCAAGGACCACCTTTTTTCACCTACGTAATATTGCAAAAATCAGGAACATCCTGTCTAAAAATTATGCAGAAAAACTAGTCCATGCATTTATTACTTCTAGGCTGGATTACTGCAATTCTTTATTATCAGGCTGCTCGAAAAAGTCCGTTAAGACTCTTCAGCTGATCCAGAATGCTGCTGCACATGTTCTGACAGGAACCAGGAAAAGAGATCACATTTCTCCTGTTTTAGCTTCTTTGCATTGGCTTCCAGTAAAATCCAGAATAGAATTTAAAATCATTCTTCTTACCTACAAAGCTCTTAATGGTCAGGCACCATCTTATCTTAAAGAGCTCATAGTACCTTACTACCCCACCAGAGAACTGCGCTCCCAGAATGCAGGGTTACTTGTGGTTCCTAGAGTCTCCAAAAGTAGACTAGGAGCCAGAGCGTTCAGCTATCAAGCTCCTCTCCTGTGGAACCAGGTTCCAGTTTGGGTTTAGGAGGCAGACACCATCTCCACATTTAAGAGTAGGCTTAAGACTTTCCTCTTTGATAAAGCTTATAGTTAGGGCTGGCTCAGGTGAGTCCTGAACCATCCCTTAGTTATGCTGCTATAGGCCTAGACTGCTGGGGGATTTCCTATGATGCACTGAGCTCCTCTCTCCTCTACTTTCTCTCCCTCTGTATGCAACCTCATCCCATTATTGCATGTTACTAACACAACTTCTCCCCTTTCCGGTAGTCTTGTGCTTTCTCGTCTCTCTCCTATCTCCTCCTATCACTTCCTGCAGGTTTTCTGGCTCTGGAGCTGTGGAATCTGGATCTGTGGCTGCGGGTCACCTGCATGGTTCTGCTCGAGGTTTCTGCCTCTTAAAAGGAAGTTTTTCCTTGCCTCTGTCGCCTAGTGCTGCTCTTGGTGGGAATTGTTGGGCTTCTGTAAATAACATCATAGAGTACGGTCTAGACCTGCTCTTTTATGAAAAGGGCCGTGAGATAACTGTTGTTGTGATTTGGCGCTAAATAAATAAAATATATATATATGAGAAAGAGAGAGATAGATAGATTTAATTGTCCCTTATTTTCAGATCACAATGATGACAGTTGTGACTCCTCTCTCCTCTCCCTCTCTCCCTGCTCCTCTCTCTCCCCCCTTAAACCCACAGAACCTGCCTGAGCTTTCCAAAACAAAAAACAGCTACTTCAGAGTTCATCATCGACTCATGATGCCTGTGCTCCTTTGTCTCCTACATATTTGGGCTACAGCCTTTTGTTGCAGTTTTTATAATTGAAGTAAATTTATGAAGATGCTGTTCTGTTTTTGTAGTTTATTCCAGGGGAAAGCTATAATTGTCAAGCTATAAGATGTCCACAGTAACCAGGCAAAGGCTTCTATGGTTTAAGTCTCTAAGACAGAGGGGGTGGAATTTGTTGCCCATGTTCCTGACTAATTAAATAAATATACAGTATACTGTATAATGCTACATGATAAATAATAGGCTTCAAATAGATCGGTGATTGGTATTGGCCGACACTGCTTTCAGCAATCTGTGATTGGCCCAAAAAATCCTGATTGGAGCACGTCTATAGTATACTAATTGTTCATTTTGTACGCATTATGCAGTGAATACTGACTGAGTAGTAGGCAGTATGTTGGTATGCAATGTCGAACACAGACATGCTCTAAATGTTGTTTTATGGTTCTAGATAGCTCACTCCACCATGACATCTCACTCCCTGTCTTTCTTTCTGTATGTCTGTCTGTTGATATAGAAACAAAGAGGAAGACATAGACTCAAATGTCACCGCTGTCAGCACTGTGACAAATCCTTCACAACATCTGGATATTTAAAGATTCATCAGAGACTTCACACTGGAGAGAAACTGTACAGCTGTGACCAGTGTGAGAAAGCTTTCACTACATCTGGTCAACTTAAAGTCCACCTGCGTGTTCACACTGGAGAGAAACCGTACAGCTGTGACCAGTGTGAGAAAGCTTTCACTCAACCAGGTCAACTTAAAATCCACCTACGTGTTCACACTGGAGAAAAAGCGCACAGCTGTGACCAGTGTGGAAAAGCGTTTAACCAGTTAGGTCAATATAAAATCCACTTACGCTTTCACGCAGGAGAGAAACCGTACAGCTGTGACCAGTGTGGGAAAGCCTTCAGTACACTACACCACCTAAAAACACACCAGCGCGTTCACACTGGAGAGAAACCGTATAGCTGTGACCAGTGTGGGAAAGCCTTCAGTACCCTACACCACCTAAAAACACACCAGCGTGTTCACACTGGAGAGAAACCATATAGCTGTGACATATGTGGAAAGGCCTTCTCTCAATCAGATCAAATCAACAAACACAGACGTGTTCACACTGGAGAGAAACCCTACTGGTGTGAACAATGTGGGAAAACTTTCGGTCGGTTTGATAAGTTAGAAAAACACAGACGTCTTCACACTGGAGAAAAGCCGTACTGGTGTGAACAATGTGGGAAAACTTTCCGTGGGGCTGATAAGTTAGAAGTCCACCGCCGTGTTCACACTGGAGAGAAACCGTACTGGTGTGAACAATGTGGGAAAAGTTTTGCTCAATCAGGTAACCTAAAAGCCCACCGACGTGTTCACACTGCAGAGAAACCGTACAGCTGTGACCAATGTGGGAAAGCGTTTAAAGAGAGTCGTACACTTAGAAGCCACAAACTCATTCACACCACATTGTTGTGATTTTTTAAAGTCAAGTTAGCCGTTTCCTCATGCTTATCCTCCCTGTGTCCCGTGCAAGAGAGTGAAAGACTAGAGTACCACTCAGCATAGCTGCCACAGAGGTTGCGGTGTAGATATTATCTAGATATTTTCTACGTTACATTAGCATGTAGCTGACGCATTTAGCCAAAGCTTACAACTTACGCTTATAACTGCTATATATGTCAGAGGTTGCACGCTTCTGGAGCAACTAGGGGTGTAATGCTATGTTAAATACATCATATTTTAATATTGGACTACACAGATAAAATCAGAAGGAAGGAAACAGATGTTTGTTGTTACTCCGGTTTCACACACAACGCAAATTTTCAATTTCCGTTGCACGAGTTTGACCGCTGGACTACTCGCACAAGTTTTCCACACTCGACAATGCAACAGCATAAATAAACAACCTGCCATTACTACAACTGTATGAACACAAAATGAACATTTTTCTGCGATGTAGTTAAAACAAATGGATCAAACGGATGACGAACTAATAAAAAATAAATAAAAAATATCATGATGCCCATATGTAAAAAATATTGTTATTATAATGCATTTTATATTTTATATTGGTAATACAATGACCCTGTGCACAATTACATGAAAACCAATTAGTATTTAGAAGACAGTGATGGTAACTGCAATGAGCCCAACAAACGACGTAAATACAGTTTTAAGCGTTTCTCCTGTTCTGACACTTAACTTGATAGCTGCTGGATTTAAAATGGAGAAGATATTCTGGTTGGTTGACTAAACAGCGTGACGCGTTATCATGTGCAGTGGACGAAAACTGGGAATTTGAGAAAGAGTGCACCTCTTTTGTGCACCTCCTGCCTCACCTACTACACCAACCTTTCTGCCAAGAAGTAGGATTTGGTGCATTTAGCTGCCTCTTGTGCAAACATTTTTTTCCTTCTTAAATCTTATTTTTTGTCGGCACCACATAACTTTTTTTCTGTCCTTCCGCCACATTTACCATCTCTGCTGTGCTTATCACATAACCCAGCGCTGAGTTCAGCCCTGCCATAACGTTTGGAGATTGAACTCACCCCAGACAGAAAGTAAACTTTGATCAACGACGTTGAGCCAATCAGATTTCAGCAAAAACGAGGATCAGTCCAAGTGTGGACGGGCTACTTGTATCCATCCATCCTCCATTTCAAAAGTATTGGTTTGGCCCAGTTTGATGGACACAGACAGTGTTCACTGCAGCAGACTGGCCGGCCAGCGCGGTTGCAGATCATGAAGTAAAACATTAGAAATGGGCTGACTGTTCGGGAACACTCCCGCTCGCACAATGGCCGGTCCGCCCCTGGAGTCTGCAGACACATAACACACAGCAGCAGAACAACGTGTAGCATTTTTACAAGAACAGCTAACAATTAAAGCTTCAGTTTACAACCTGTTAGCAGACAGACAAACCAAAGCTAAAAGTTAACTCACCCAGCGTTCCAACACAGTCTCACTCCCTACTCGTCAAATGTTTGACGCATGGTCAAGGCCCTTTGTCGTCGCTTTTTAAAGACTTGGGTAGCCCTTTTGCATCAATTATTGACGTTTAAGGATCTACAGTCAAGTTAGCAACGCTTAGCAACAATAAATATGCAATATCCGGTTACACTTTCAAGATAAAACGTAACGTTTCGATACACGCATAATTAAAGTTGTGAAACGTTGCAGTTTCGTTAGGTTTAGGCACAGAAAGTACTTGGTTGTGTTTAGGCAACAAAACTACTTGGTTAAGGTTAGGAAAAGATCATGGTTTGGGTTAAAATAGCTATGTATGTCAATTAAGACTTAAGTTAACTAACGTTAATGTCAATTTACCTCACTCGCCTAAATAAAAACATTTAATGTTTTGTTTCGCACGGGACACAAACCCTGTTCTCCTGCTTCAAGGTCCGGGTTCTGGCCCTCTATCCACCCCAATCACCTCCTTACTTCGTCTTTTCTCTTAAATATCATACTTGCCTTTACCACCAAAAACTGACACAACAGGGCTTCCCTCAATACGTCGAACTATGACGTCAAAGGGATCCCTAGTGCGTCACAAACTGACGATTATGGCTCTTGACCAAGCGTCCATATTTGACGACTTGGGAGTGAGACCGGGTTGAGCGTTCACTAGAAGGTCATTTTCCCTCAGTGCTCTCATAAAGACATAATGTGACCAGACTTAAGAAAGACTGAAAATCTCCACAGCGCTGTCTTCACCATGTTGTCATTGACCCAAACAAACCCACATGTTTGTTTGTTTTACATGTGTGTTTATTTGTTTTACAACAAGTGTGTTGTTTCACAACGCACTCAAAGAGGATCAGTTTCAGCCTTGTTGGATAAAAGCCGTATTGACAACCAAACTCCAGGATGAAGACTCATCTCCTCTGCTTGGAGTTACTCCTCCTGGCTGGTCACATCCTTGTGGCCAGTGGGCAGCTGGAGCCAAAGAAACAAGTGCCACAGGACCCTCTTACTGTTACCCAGAGACTTGGACTCGTAGAAAGAGACGTGCAGGGTCCGATGAGGCCCGATATCACCATGCCCCGCCGCCGGCCTGGTGTTTGTTGTGGGTATTATTGGTAATACCCACAACAAAAAGAGAGACTGAGACTGGGAGACTGTTGCTAACTGGTTGATGCTGGACAGTGTTCGCCGTGAGTTTATTATAGCACGGTAACCGTACCCGGTTATCATGGTAATTAAGATGTGTATGGTAATAATAGCCGTTGGGAATTTTACCGTGGTTTATCGATTAAACCGGTAATAATTTCATCTCTAATAAAAATATTGAGGCCTGAAATGGTACAATACAAGTTAAAGAGTTCCTCCTGGTGTTAAACAACTCCGTTATCAGAGCAGAATCCAGTCAGACTGTAGCTCTGCAGCTGTTTTTCTCTCTACTCTTCCCGGTGTCCCTGTCCTCTACACATCACACTCTGGAAAGCTGTCAGTGATGTTGATGCTATCGCGACAAATCGTCACTCGAATTTCACACTCACAATGAAAACTTTTAACTCACACAATAGAGCGTCTCATCTTTGACCACGTCTACAAACTCATCTTTGTATTGAGTTTTTATAGAATCTCGCTGGCATTGCGTTGTGTGTGAAACCAGCATTAGAACGCCGTGCTTAGATTCTCTTAACATGTCAGCCTGACCTTAAAAAAGCCAAATCCCTAATGCAACAGTGTGTGTATAGTAGGATTGGCGAAAGTGTCTGAACAGTACTGATCTACAAAGGCAAACAACCTTTTAATCGCTGGAGTGTAAAACTGAGAAAAATTACGTTAAACTTGTTTTGTTGTCAAATTAATTGTAGGTAGAATACCGGACATGTGGCAAATCTTTTTTATTTATAAAGTTATTTATGTACATAAAAATCTTGATCTCAAAGACCTTTGACCCTTATTCAAAAGTTAATGTACTCTGACTTTGCATTGTCAGCAAAATAATGTCTATGTTAAACCTACTAATCATGGCAAAATCAGGCTTAATATAATATAAACAGATAAATAATATAATGTAAAATTGTATTCATTATTTTTAAAGCTCTTCATGGCCTCTCGCCCTTTTATATCTCTGATTTCTTTTTGTCCCATACGCACCAGCACATATCGTGAGATCCTCGGGCAGAGGTCTGTTGTCTGTTCCAGAGTGTTTAGAAATCTAAAGGGGACAAAGCATTTGCAGTCAGTGGCCCGAGGCTCTGGAACAGCCTGTCAGTTGAGTCAATGAACTCTTTTAAGTCCCTTCTTAAAATATACTTTTATAGGAGAGCCTTTCCTGATTTTAGTTGATATTGTTTTATTTTATTTTGTATTTACTTTTAACGTGCGTTTGTGTCAAGTGTTTTGTTGCTTTTATCATCTATTTGTGTTATATTGTCTTTGCACTTGTTAAAGCACTTTGTAACTTGTTTTCGGAAAGTGCTCTATAAATAAAAATGGTGATTATTATTATTATAAATGAGAACAAGTGTATTAACGTGTATTTGAAGGTCACAAAAGTGCATAACCACCACACATTGTTAAGACTTATTTTATGATCCTATTGTTGTAGTGAATTAAAACATAACACAATTTCTCTACGTATTCCTTAAATTTCAAGTTGTAACTGATTTTGCAATGCTAGTGTGGCTTTTATACACTCTCAGAAAATTTACACACAATATTATCAACAACTTTTATCCCCTTTCCAACATTTATTGCGAATGATTTACGATTACTTATAGCTGGAAAGCCATCTACTTTTTGTTTGATTCTAATCTTTAGTTTGGTGTGTTTGCTATTGTTGTGGACGGTAATCTATTTCTTTTAACAAATAAATTAATTACAACAAACCGTTGTCTTTTTTTTGATTTATTAAATGAGATTTAACAGAGAAGTAACATGTAAAAATTACGATTACTTATAGCTGGAAAGCCATCTACTTTTTGTTTGATTCTAATCTTTAGTTTGGTGTGTTTGCTATTGTTGTGGACGGTAATCTATTTCTTTTAACAAATTAATTAATTACAACAAACCGTTGTCTTTTTTTTGATTTATTAAATGAGATTTAACAGAGAAGTAACATGTAAAAATGAACCAGCCAGTCCAGAAATCCACCACCTGGTCCACTTGCTAACGTCTTGCCCAGAGTGTTTAACAATTCAGCTCGTTGTCACAGTGCTCAGTGTATGATTAGGGAACAGAGGCTTCTTGGCCATCATTAAGACTAAACATACTAAAACAGAGTGGAAGGGCACAAAGGGCGCACAATAAACCTAGCAAGCTGTTCCCTTTAACACAGCCTAAACATTAGTAAATGGACAACATAATATGGTAGATAAAGTACTAATATATGTGAGTGTATGGATAAAGTAATACAAGTGCATTCATAAAAGATGAAAAACATGAAAGGATTTTCTGCCACCATAGCTACCGCTAGCTTGCACTACTTAGCTAACAAGTCATTATAGTAACGTTAGTTAAAACAATCACTGACACTATTTTCTTTATACTTTATTTAAGCTGTGTGTGTGTAATCAAAGCATTTCTGGCACATGTATGTATTATACATGGGCATAACAAGGTTAAGTCCAATACACAAGGTACACAGTAATTTCATAGATGCGCAGTAAATCAAAGGCAGAGTAACTTAACCCAAGATTTTAACTCAATTTGTGCATTCCAGAGTGCATCAAAACAATGAGAAAGAACCTAATCTTACGGCAAAAACAACCCATTATTTTCTCCAAAAAACAAAAGTTAGTCAAGATATTTGCCCACATCACGAAGGAGATTGTTTTTTCAAAAATGACAATATATCGAAGTTAAGGCCTTTGCATGGCAGAGTGCGTTTGTGTGTCGGAGAGGTTTGCAGTCAAGCTGTCACTATGTAGTACGTAAAACGTATAGGTGAAGCACACAAAAACGCTCACCTGTATCAAAACATGTAAACTGCTCAAAATAATTAAGGGAACACATTAACCAAACATGATTGTAAAGAACGAAATAGTTCCAAGTTTAAAATTTTACTGAACAACGGTGCAGGGTGAGAGAGAAATGAATGAATACCAACGAAGGTTATTATAGTTTTGGATTTTCATCAGTTTTTATTTCGTTTTTGACCTTTTGTTTTCCATTTTGTTCTTTTTCAGATATAAGGCAACATAATGTTATAACTCCTTTAGGATTACATTGATTTTTAACTTATTTGCATGATCAAAATACTCCAAATCATTATGCAGAAATATACATTTAAAATACATTGTTGCCAATAAAATAACCAAATAAAAGCAATAACCAAAAAAAAAAATAGCCTACAGTTAATAATGGAAACTGAATAAGCATGAAGCTCTAATGATTCATTTTATATCTGGCCTAATACAACCATTTTCACATTGTGGGGAAGTGAAAGCACTATCTTCATTAGTGGATTTTATAGGAAAAATAATAGTGAATCCAAACAATAATCCAAACAATAAGCATAACACAGGCTACGCACAGCAGGCTCAACAATAAAGCATTTAACACAGGCTGTAGAAAACATGACTTGAATTCACTCAGTAAAGTTAAAATAAATTTAAACTGACAAAGCTGTACTGGTGGCGACGTACCTAGTGACAACGTGTGTGTCACATGGTTTTAAGGGGACGTACCTAGTTCAGATGTACTTAGTAGGCATATACAGGAATTCTAATATACGACGCTGTGACGTCGCCGCCGGAAGACGTTCATTTCATGCACTCGCCGCCAAGTCACCGCCGGTCTCCCGTCTGCGGTACCAATGACTCCCATTCCAAAATCCACACGGTCTGGCGGTGACGGCAGGGTAGACTGCTCCTTATCCTTCTGCTGGTAATCCTCGCTTTGGCACAATCCACTTGTTATAGCCGTCAAGTTGGACACATTCTACCTGCGTGAGCTTACTGTGAGTTGAGATCAATGGCTGATCTTGTGGCAAAAGTGTGGTTCCAACTTTGTGCAGCCGCAGAAAAGCAACTACGGTTGCCTTGCTCCCACGAGGTTTTAATATCATGTGACATG